TAATTTGTTAACTGATATTTGTCTCCATATATTTATGTAAAAATAAGAAGCAAATAAAAATATATTTTACTTATGTATCTATTTTCATATCCTTTTTTTCACCTCTATATATAAATATTACAAGAAAACATTATCACTTTACTATATTGTTTAGATTATAAGGAAAAACAGCATATAAATATAACACAGGCATAAAAACAAATGCACTTTGTTAGAAGAATAAATAATATATTTACTATGTACAAATCGTGAAAAAATGACTTAAGAAAATTAATTTTCTTTAGTGAATATATTATATATTGCATTAATACTTTATGTCAGTATTTTAAAACATAATTCATTAAATATTTCAGTAAATTAATCAATACTAAATGAAATAGGCCAGGTTTTTAAATCCTGCAAATCAACCAACACACCTATCTGTGTCTCAGAAAATTTTGGAATGCAAATCAATCTTACTACTTGTCCTTCATCTGCTGTGAATGTATAGTTTACTTTACCAAGACTATTTCTTCATCATATCATGAAAATAAGAAGTAATAGAACAATATTCTTACCTGTGAGTAATTTGGTGTCATACTTGTCCATATTACCAGCAAAATATATATCAGGACATTCTGTTATAACAAATGGATCAATTTTGGAAGATGGGTAAGCTGGCACAGTATCTGGTGCAGTTGGTGCATAATGTCGCCAAAGTAATGTACGCTCCAACCACGTTAAAGGTGAAATATTAACAAGACTAGCAACTTTCATAATATCCATAATAGGTTGACCACTAGATCCAGCTACAATACGAGTGTTGATACTACCAATCCATGGATTAGTGACTCCATAAAAATTCTTAAACCTGTATCATATGACCATTAACAATATTTTACTGTTATATTGTGCATAAATTTATTACCTGCAACATTGAGGCAAAATGCAAGGATGAAGTGATTGTTGAGGTAATGTATGACAAGTTGGGTCAAATTCTCCAGGCATTAATATTATAGGACAACATTGCACTATAGGATGGAGAAAATCATCTAATTTATGTGTTAACATTGCAGCCTCTTTAAATATAACTTCATTATGTGCCTTAGTTTGAAAGTACTTTTTATGATTGTGTGTCTCTATGGATCCTCTTATGCTATTTCCTATATTAATATTATTATTATTTATTTTGGATTACTCTTATCACTACAATACTTTAAATACCTGCTATAATTATACACACAATAGAAGCCACTTCATTTTGAATCTTCTTACAACCAATCATTCCAGTTATCCATTCAGATAATAGATTTAAACTTAATGATTGTGAATTATTTGCCAAATCTAAACCAGAAATTATTAAAATTTTTCCCTTTTCTTCTAGTAGATGATCAAGTATTGATAATTTTGGACAATATCCTGCGAAGCACCAATCTATTACCTATAATCAATGTATCACAATTCAATAATTATCAAGTAAGCACAAATAATCACAATTAAATTAAATTATAATTTTTAGTTTAATTACATTAGGTATTTCTTTGTAGTTATTATTTTTTAGTAAATTCCATAAAAATAATATTTACTGAAAATGCACCATTCTCCAGAACATGTCCAAGCACAGCACAAACAAGCCCAGTGACTACATCTTGAATATTCACGTGATTGCCAACTAATTTAATACGTAACGTTTCATCTTCCAAATATAATACATCTTTAAACGATGCATAATTGACTTTAGATGGTTGGGTTACTAATTGAAGTTCTTCGCTAATTTCACGTAAAACTGATGGTTTTAATTCTTGATGTTTATATAATGTTCCTACTATAATACAAGTATTACTTTCATTCCTTTCAGCAAGTTCTGATATTGTAACTATTTCATTGGATGCTAAAATAAAATATTAAACATTAAAAGAATATAACCTAAAACGATAACAAATGTAACCTCCATGAAAAAAAATTTACTCCATTTAAGTTTTGCTTTTTGCAAGACATGATCCTTCAATGCTCTTAACCTTGAAATGTATATATCAGAGTACTGCTGCTCAAAATGTTTTAGAGAAATTTTGAATTTTTCAAAATCCTCAAACTTAAATAACTTGCGGCGATACACCAATGGCGAATGAGCTTCCATTCCAAAAAGTACTCTGATTAAATATTTTCAACAGCACACTTAAGTTTTAATAAATTCAGTATATTATAATACTCACTAA